GTCATGAACCACCAACACCATTTCTAAAGATTATAGATAGCTATAAAAATAGAGAGAGAGAGAGAGCTAGCTTAGATTTAAACTGAGTCAACTCAGGACTAGCTTATTATATATTACCTTATACTATGATACCAGAGTACACCAGGGAAAGGAAAGATCCACAACCTAGACCTATTGCAGGGGCGTATCTAGGAATTGGGGAAGGGGGGTGCTGAGGGCGCGAAGCGCGCCGCGATTTTGGCCACACCCACTTTTACGGCGGTAAAACAGCCTTTTCCTGCATTTTCGTCAATTACAGGTGGGGCCAAGATTATTTCAAGCATACTGCTATGTTACTGGCACTTCTGATTGCTCCTTAAAGCACCGGAAACTGCTGAAATCATGATCAGGGGGCTAGATAACTTTGTTAAGAGGCTTGGTAGTGATGCAAGAGTCCTGGACTTCAGTAATTTTTTCTGAGCCCAGCCCTGAGGTAGTCTCGCTAGCCAGACCATTCCCCAGCCTACAGTCATTGGGGTGGACGGCGGGGAAGGGTCTGGTACAGGTACACTCTTTAATGTAGTCTTGTTCTGACAGCAACCACGTGGGTAGTGACGTAATGAAATTGTCATGTGCAAAAGACCCCGCCCATCACACGTGTTTTCACGTGTGTAATGCAGAAACGACTTTTAACCAAATTAAACAAGCCCAAATGACTTACAAAATGCATTCTGGAGGCTGGAAGGGAAAGAAAGAAAGTATTGAAGCATAGATTCCTTTGCCATACTTTGGTACCTAAAGGATCAGCTAGAAAGTAGTAAATGTAACGTGTTGGAGAGCATCAACAATGTAAGTCCTGATACAGGTATAACATGCTCATCTATGATTTCCAAAGGTCAACGATTGTTCATTGCTTCAAGTGATGTGACATTCATAGCAAGGAGTGTGGAAATACAGTCAATGTATTGCAAATTTGTCATATAATAGAGGATATGCGTGCTAAGTATATTCATTGCAAAATAATTATATTCATTGCATACCGTAATAACTTTCAAGAAAAAAAATTAGTTCGTTGGACGTCAACTTTCCATTGGCAGCAATGGAGAAATGATAGAAAAAGGCTTGGTACCAGGAAACCGCTCTGTATTTCTTGATAGCAATCTTTCAGGTGACTACTAGACCCCATTAGATCCTCAGGATGCTTTCTAAGCTTCCGAAAAAGGCCTCAAGAAGGTAGCAAGGCAAGAAAATGTGTTTTCCCCCATTGAACTCTTAATAAACTTGACGTCCAACATGGCGGCCAATTTACTGTGTGGGTTGGATATACGGTACTAAAAAGCTATGAATATACTTAGCACGCATATCCTCTATTCTATTTTATTCGTATTTTATTTATTGAAAATGTCTTATAATGATTATAAAATACAATGAAACCAGTAAAAAGAGAAGGAAGAAGGGAAAAGTGCAATTCAACAACAAAAATACTGTTTATATGAAACAACAATAAAATTGAACCGAAATGCATGTTTCATGGCATCCAGACAAACTTGTAGCATATTACCCGGATACCTTTCACTAAGATGCCTCTCCAGAATCAATAAGACGCTGGATGCTACCACTCTATAGCTTGCTTTTCAGCATTCTCTCCACAACTCTTGAAAAGTCGCCATTTTGATAATTAATATTTAATGTGACTTGTGGTCACATGTCATGGATAACTGAATCTGATTGGTCACGTCCACTTTTGGACGGGAGAACAAGACTACATTAAAGAGTGTACCAGACCCTTCCCCGCCGTCCACCCCAATGACTGTAGGCTGGGGAATGGTCTGGCTAGCGAGACTAGCCCTGAGGGGGGTGCTCAAGCCCCCTCAGCCCCCCCCTAAATACGCCTCTGTATTGAATTGAAAGGGCCACAAACAAATAGGATGTGGTTAACCCAAGCATGCAACTAATGACTATTTAATGTTTTTATTAGTGTACAGTCAATGAATGTGAAGAGAGTAGTACTATACTACTCTCTTCACGTTCATTCACTGTACAATAATAAAAACATTACTATAACAGCTGCATAATGTAATGCAAAGGTACTTCCCGACAGCACAATGAATACCAGTTCTCCTTACATAAGTAACAAATCACTGCTGCTAACAGTGGTCCATTAACCTTGTCGCTTAGAGTGAAATTGTCATGAACCTTGACTACCATTGCTAACTTAGATTTTTAAATCAGGCAACTTGGGACTAGCATATTTCATATCACCTTAGGCTATGATATGAGAGTAGAGTATATACACTAGGGAAAGGGAAACCTAGCTGGACCCATTGAATTAAACCCTTATGAATGTATCCAAAACAGGATGTCGTTAATTTAGTTATAAGTAAATAAAGACTCTTTATGGTACCAAACTTAATGTACTCTTGTCACATTGACTGCTTCAGACTAATAAAAACATAACTAATTTGGTCATTTTGCATGACATGCAAAAACATTATGCTTATAATGAGACTATGCTACTGAATAATGAGACTATGCTTATAATGCGTCTCAACTTTCTGACAGCACAATGCTGTCCTTATGTTGCATTAGTGGCTCAGACTAATATATATATATATATATGATTCTACTGTAGTATTTACTTACCATTATACAAGTTGATCTATTTTTTATTTTCATTAGCAAGTGGTCAACCTGAAGCACTCAATGAGCTCATATCCCATGGTGCTACATTAGATGTGGTTGAGAAGAACGGAGCCACACCTCTACACCTTGCTGCACAAGTCTCTGCACCAATAAGTGGTCAGTTGCTGCCTTTTTTATTAATTTTTTTTTAATTTGAAGGAATAGATGACGATGAAGCACTGAATATCAGCAATGGAGCAAAACAATGCATTGAAGTGAGTCCTGCTGAATAGTTGTACAAGTATATAATTGTTGGTTGCATGATTATATAGATCTTACTCAAAGCTGGTGCTAATGTCCTAGCTGCTGATGGGGAAGGCAGGCAGCCACTGCACTGGGCATTACAATTACAAGGTATGGACTATAATAATATACCACAATTAACATTTTATTTAAATATTCTAAGATAACACTGATGCTGTTGACCTGTTGATATCAGGAGGTACCAATCCAAATACTAAAGTAACCGATGGGCTTCCAGGTAATTATATAATAAAATGATTCGTCTTTTCAGCGTATCTGCTTTGTCTTCTATCAGGTCTTCACATTGCAGCTAAATACGGTATAACAGAGAATTGTCGGCATCTTATTGAAGTGCATGGCGTTGATGGGAATACTATTGATGATTATGGACAGACTCCACTCTTCTATGCAATCGAGAGTCAAGCCATAGACTGCTCAGCCTATCTTCTTAGCATTGGCTGCTCTGCTAATGATAAGAACAATGAAGGAAGGAGGTAAGTTATACTAGCATTTAAAATGCTTGTATTTATGCATTTAATTATTTCATACAGTCCAGTTCACATTGCTGCTACAGTTGGCTCAATTGAAGGATTGGAGTTACTGTCCAGTTATAATGGGGACATCAATATTCAGAGCAATCAATGCATTACGCCACTTCATGATGCAGCAGTCAATGGACAAACCAGTGAGTCCCTTTGGTTAAATAAAACTTGACAGTCCCTTAAACTTCAATTTTAAAGAAAAGATGTTTAAATTATTTTGTCACTATTTCAGGTGCACTGATGTATATACTAAGCGCTGGTGGTAATCCAAGCCCAGTTTCACCTGATACTAGTGTTCCTTCTCCACTGCATTATGCTGTCTCTGAGGGATACAAGGATTGTGCACAGATTCTGATTGAGGCTGGAGCTAATGTCAATGCCTTCATCATAACGGAAAAAGTTAGTTGAACAGACAATAATTTTCCAAAAAATGGCTCCGAAATCACCCTCAATTTTTATTACATTTTCTGATACATATTGATGTCCTTATGCTTCGTGGAAAGTTTGAGTTGATTCCGACTTCAATTTTTTGAGTTATCGTTACTTTTAAAAACTAGCAAAAATCTGAAAAATACCCAAGGCTATAGCCCATGGTTTTTTCCAAAAAATGGCTCCGAAATCACCCTCAATTTTTATTACATTTTCTGATACATATTGATGTACTTATGCTATGTGGAAAGTTTGAGTTGATTCCGACTTTAATTTTTTGAGTTATCGTTACTTTTAAAAACTAACCAAAATCTGAAAAATACCCAAGGCTATAGCCCATGGTTTTTTCCAAAAAATGGCTCCGAAATCACTTTCAATTTTTATTACATTTTCTGATACATATTGATGTCCTTATGCTACGTGGAAAGTTTGAGTTGATTCCAACTTTAATTTTTCGAGTTATCGTTACTTTTAAAAACTAACCAAAATCTGAAAAATACCCAAGGCTATAGCCCATGGTTTTTTCCAAAAAATGGCTCCGAAATCACTTTCAATTTTTATTACATTTTCTGATACATATTGATGTCCTTATGCTTCGTGGAAAGTTTGAGTTGATTCCGACTTCAATTTTTTGAGTTATCGTTACTTTTAAAAACTAGCAAAAATCTGAAAAATACCCAAGGCTATAGCCCATGGTTTTTTCCAAAAAATGGCTCCGAAATCACCCTCAATTTTTATTACATTTTCTGATACATATTGATGTACTTATGCTATGTGGAAAGTTTGAGTTGATTCCGACTTTAATTTTTCGAGTTATCGTTACTTTTAAAAACTAACCAAAATCTGAAAAATACCCAAGGCTATAGCCCATGGTTTTTTCCAAAAAATGGCTCCGAAATCACTTTCAATTTTTATTACATTTTCTGATACATATTGATGTCCTTATGCTACGTGGAAAGTTTGAGTTGATTCCGACTTTAATTTTTCGAGTTATCGTTACTTTTAAAAACTAACCAAAATCTGAAAAATACCCAAGGCTATAGCCCATGGTTTTTTCCAAAAAATGGCTCCGAAATCACTTTCAATTTTTATTACATTTTCTGATACATATTGATGTCCTTATGCTACGTGGAAAGTTTGAGTTGATTCCAACTTTAATTTTTTGAATTATCGTTACTTTTAAAAACTAACTAAAATCTGAAAAATACCTATAGCCCATGGTTTTTTCCAAAAAATGGCTCTGAAATCACCCTCAATTTTTATTACATTTTCTGATACATATTGATGTACTTATGCTATGTAGAAAGTTTGAGCTGTTTTCGGCAAATATTTTTGGAGTTATGAGCATTTTAAAACGAGCCAATTTTTGAAAAAAGCAAAGGCTATAGCCCATGGTTTTTCCAGAAAATTTGGTCCAAAATCACCCCCCCCAATCTTTTTACTCTTTCTGATACATATTGATGTGCTTATGCTGTGTAGAAAGTTTGAAGTAGTCCAATCACAAATCTAAAAAGCATTACATTGTAGCTGTGTGTGACTAAAATTTGGAGCAATGCAAAAGTCAAATTATTAATTCTCTAATTCATAGGACGAGAGCCCACTAACTCCTCTTGACTATGCTACTGACTATCCAGAGATAAAAGAGTTGCTTTTATCAAATAATGCCCTGCCTGGGAAAGACATTGATGTGCCAAAACCAGAAGGAGAAGAAGAGTGAGTATCAATGCATGCTTTTATATTATTATTATTTTCATTGCTAAAGGGCTCACGTTGAGGAAGAAGAAATAGCTACAGAGGAAGCTACTGAGCCAGTTACTGAGGAAGAACCTCCTGAGCTGAGACCAATCACTACACCAACCCTAAGGCAACAAGTATCCCGAGAGTCTTTAGATCCTTTTAAGGAAGTACAGAAACCAAAGGAACGAAAGAGTCTCCTTTCGCGTCTAATGAGACGTGACAGACCACCCCCCGACTCTATAAAGTACAGTGTTGTTGGTCTCTATGGAGCTCAAGCAACCATGCTTGCTGCTGGACTGTTAGGTAATAATAGAATAATAATAAAGATGATGATGATGATGGTAATAAACCATTCATTTCCTGCTTGTTCCCATTATATATCTCTATCTTCCATTACCTTCATTAAAATTATTCCTTACACCTAGGTACGCCACTTGGTGACAAAGCCTTTAAAGTGGCAGCACAAGTCACGACTGACAATGCAGCAGAGTTGAAGAGAGAGGCAGCCGATATGGACACAGATGCACTCCAAGAGTTGGATTGGCTAGAAACACCGATCCCTGAGCCAAGCCCTTCACCAGTGCCTATAGAAATACCTCCAACACCACAACCAACACCTCCACCTAAAGTGGACTTTCATATGAGCCCCGATGAGAGAAGAATGAGAAAAGCAAAAGGTACTTAGGACCAATCAATCACAAAAGCTATAGATGATAAACCAATGACTCTGTTTGCATTATTCAAGCAATGATAACACTGATAATATTTATTTGCTTGCTTTGTATATAGCTCAAATGGATGAGAGTAAATCCCTTGCCTTCCGTGCCATTGAAGAACTACTGAAGGCTCAAAACACTCGCTCACAACTGACGAGACGCTTTGTAATGGCAGAGCTAAAGGATAGTCTTGCTGCAAGAAGAGAAAAGGCTCGAAATGCAGAAGTACTACTCACTAATAATGTGTCAGCATTGCATCTTTTTTTAGGAAAAGGCAAGAGCTGAGTCTGAAAAATTACTGGCTAAGTATAACGAACAAATGGAGAAGGCAGCAGCTCAATCAGAAGTAAAAAAAACAACTGCCTTTCCATAATAATAATAATAATAATAATGATGATGAATTTTAGAAAATGAACAGTCGTGTTGCAGAGCAGATAAACAGTGCACGGAAGATTAATAGCGAGATTGCACACTCCATGAGTGCACTAGGAATCAGCTCAAGGCCGTCTGTCTCTGAATGGCTGAGGAAAAAAGACGAGGAAAAGAAAGAACAGCTTAAATTTAAACTTCACGACTGGCACAAGTTAGAGAGATAAAAATTATTCACTTATAATAATGTGCTGTCATTTATTAATAGAAGCAGAGAGCAGAGGGAGCTGGCCATCTCTCTCAAACAGGCAGTCACTACACACAGGGCCTTACATCATGCTGCTTGGAATACCAAGAAAGAACTAACAGCTCAAAACGATGCACTGAAGAAAAGAGAATTGACCACTGGAGGGACCACTAGACATCACAAAAGAGCAGCTACAAGTAACACTATTATTATTATTATTGTATTATTATTATTTATTTGTAGCTGGAGGTATTTCATTAAAATCTCCTCCTCCTCCATCTCTCTTGGGACACAGACAAACTGTTACACAGAATCTAGCTAGAACTAGAAAAGTAGTCTCAACGCCATCGAAAACTATCAGTAAGTAACAAGATGATGAATTAATGGCTCTTCAATATCACAATGCATTCTCTCTTCTTCTCTAGCTACTGAAGGATGCATCAGAGCAACACCGATCGGTTTTTTAAAAGCAAGGGACACTTCTCCCCTTCCTCTTTCTTCTGGTAAACTAATCCGACGTTCCTCTGATTCACTGGCCGACAGTACACTTTGGAAGATGGGGGAATCATACAGTAAGCTGCTAAGTAAAATATGTACATCATTCGAAAAAATTCTTAATTTTTTAATTACACAGTTGGGCATAAGACAAGATTCCATTCCGGTATCAATAGCAGAGCATACGGACCGAGAACTGTCCATGCTGAATCCACACTCAACTTTGTCCCACCAAACGAGTACAAGGCAAGAATGAGGACACGAAGCAAGAGCCCGCAGCAGTCACAGGCTGATCATCACTCATTGGCTGCTACTCTAGTACCAGCTCAATCCTCAAGAGTCCAATATAGCTCTCATGCTGAAGGAATGAAGAACAAGAGAAGGACACTCTCACCACCACAGCCTGATAAGATACTACCAATGAAGATAATTGACCAACCATTTAGTGTGACTGTTTAAAGTTAATTTACTCAATTTAGCATAATATGTTATTTTTAAATTTATTTAAACCCACGTTTAATTTTGACGCTATAAGAAAACACTATATCTGTATTTCAAGTACCCACAAGGTGTATCAATAACCTCAGTAATGGATATCTTTGTGTCCCCCACTTGTTTGTCTTGGACACTCAATATATACTTGACTTTGTAGTCTTCCTAGTCTATCCATCAACAAGCTATTTAGAATATAATATAGCATGGAGTTTGGGAATCTAGTCAAAGTTTTACCCACTCATCCTTCCGAGAACTTTAAAATGACAGAAAAGGAGTGTTTCAAGAAGCATAAGGTTTCATCAACAGATATGGATGTAGCTACAACTGCAGTAACAGGCACTGAAAGGAGTAATTATGTCAATGTACCTAAAGCAGATAGTGTAGCCGACCTAATACCGCCAGAACTTCCTCCAAAAATACCCCCAAAGCAACAAGGGATCGAGAATGAATTGTACTGCAAGACACTTCCCCCAGTATTGAGACAAAAACCTCCTCCAGTACAACCCAAACCCTCAACCCTGGACAAGAAGAGGCAGCAAGTTTCATTCATAAACAAACCACCGGATGGCTTGGAAACAAACTGTGGACTCTGTTCAAACATCTTAACAGAGCCTTACCAAACCTCATGCTGTGGGAAATACATGTGCTCCAACTGCAAGGAAGAGAAGGAGGCCAGCAAGCAACCTTGCCCGTACTGCAACAACAAGATAATGAGGACATTCCTTGATCTAAACCGCCAGCACATGATGCAGAGTTTAATGGTTTACTGCAATTATAAGAAAGAGGGCTGCAAGTGGTCTGGTAGACTTGAAGAACTGAGCACTCATCTGAACGAGGCAAAAAGCAAGTCAGTGACAGTGATAGAGGAGGGAATAGCTATGAAACACGAATACTCTGAGCACTGGTATAAGAAATACAACGGATGCCCACATGCATTCGTCCAGTGCAAAAACGACAGTTGCAAGGAAACAGTTAGACGCTCAGAGATAAAGGATCATGAAGACCATACATGCCCCATGCGCTCATTTTTTTGCGAATACTGCAACCAAAGTCAAACAAAGCCAACATTTCATTACAGTCTCTGTGGGAGGTATCCAGTACAATGCCCCAACAATTGTCAACTCACAATCCCTCGAGATAAACTAAAATCTCACATGAGCACAGAGTGTCCTCTCCAGCCTTTTGAGTGCGAGTTTTCATGGGCAGGCTGCGAGGAGAAGCTCCTCAAATGTCAATTCGTGGAACACAACATCAACTATCAGCTCGAGCACCTCTCCCTCCTCTCCAAAGCTTGCATGACAATGAGGAAAGACAAAAAGGAAGCAGAAAAGGAGACTCAAAACATTAAAGAAGAGGTCGAAGTCTGTAGGAGGGAGATTGATACTATGACAGAAGAGATAGGACAGCTTAAAAGCACCAACGACCTACTGGGTACAAAGATAATGCTCACTAAGCGATCCTGTGACGGACTTGAGAAGAAACTCTATCAGGCGGTTCATGGGGCCCTCCCTGTACTGCAACCGGATTGCCCCATCACTCTCAGGGCTGGAGCAAAAAAGTTTTATTTTTTCTCTGAAGAGTACGGGTACAAGATTGCCGGACGGCTAAGCAGCAGTGCGAGTAGTGGCGGAGCTAAAGCAACCCTTGCGAAACCTTTTAACCAGCTGAGCCAAAGAGTTGTCAAAACCAGCGGAGATAACTTGGAATTTGTAATTTATAGCGAGGGAGGGATTCACAAAGTATCGCCAGAAGTGACGCAGATAACGATAATAACAAGTCAAGGTATCAGAATGATGCTTACCCATGGATACGAGCTACACAGTAAGGCAGTTCACTCCTCCATTGAGAGCCAACGACTAACAGCTTACATTGCTGATCCTGGAGACAATGTAAAAATCATTAACGTACAGTAAAACAACAACAACATTCATATCATAATGATGTACTGTGTGGACTTTAGAGAGCAATTTAAAACTTTAGTTGTTATACTGTAAGTATTCTTAGTTATTTTAAGCTTGTACATGAAAATTAATGCAGCTACATTGATGTAGCCTCTAGATAAAAATAACTATTAAAAATTAAATACTCATCTATCACTCCCGTTTTTCATAAAAGTATAAAGTTCTGCTTTATTTGACTGTGTGGCTCTTCCCCTGAACTCGGGGCGTCCCTGCATAGCCTTAGCATTTAACTGTGTGGTCCAAATGGAGAGCAAAGAGGCAACAGGTTTTGCTATTAATAGCACAATGAGAATATTGCCACCAGAAAATGACCTACTTACCTGGTACCGGATAAGGCGAACTCCTCATTCCCTTTACTTTATTGTTAGAAGTAACTGATTGTGTCTTAGCTATGGCGGGTTCTTCCTTAGCGGTTTTATTATTAGCTGATGCTCCTCCTCCTCCTCCACTTTTGGCTGCCATTTCTTCTTCTTTTTTCTCAAGGAGTGCCCTTGTGTTTTGACAGCTAGGGGATTGACTCACAGCGTGACTGATAAAGTCATATAGCATCCTGTGCTGCTCTGACTGCTGCCTGTACTTGCTAGCAATCACTTCTAGCTCATTCCACAGTAAATGATACTGCTCATCTCTATTAGGAATAAAGAGTATACTAAAATATCCTGAAACTCACACACAGTCTCGCATGCAAAAATTTACTAAAAATATCCTAAAATGAATTCAGTATATCACCCTACCTCTTACTGCTGCCTCTAGTCCTAGTCCCTGATGATGGAATGGGTAGCGGTTCGCTGTACTCTTCTTTGTCCTGTATTGACTTTATTACCTAATAATGAGATCAGTACATCTAATGTACACACGTATACATACACATTACATACACATTACATACACGTACCTCTTTACACGAATCAAGTTCGGGATCAGATATGACCGGGCGATGAATGATACTCAAAAGTGGCTCTAGCTCCTATAGAAAAGACAGCTGCAATATAACACGATCTCTGGATGCACATGCAGTACTACAAAAGATCATGGAAGGGCAGTTTAGCATTACATAGAGCATGTGTCTTTATAGTGAAGCATACAATGGTGAACTTTATATTGATATTAATTCTCACAGGCTGTACAATATTTAAAGCAACAATGATATATGATGCATATACATGTACATGCATGTACTAACTAACATGAACCATGCTATAGGCCACAGTATCACTGAACACAAGAGGCCAGTGTCTTGTCATTCTCTCTAAATTAGCTTCAGCTGGAGAGAAAGGAGTAAGTTTATAGTGACAGCAATTAACGAGTAGGGGCTTACCCAACTGGAGTGGATATTGAGATGGTATCTTAGTCCTTTCCACCGTATTAGGAACTAACATGTTGTCCTGTATCAATGAGCTGAAGTCCTGTAGCACACATAGTTAATTAAAATCATATTAAAATTATATACCGAAATCCTGTAGTCGGTGACACGCCCACCCCACCCCTCACTGATTGAGGGAGGCTCATCAAGACAGCTCCTCCCACCAGGGATACAGTGAAGGAATATACCACCTGGAAAAATAAATAAAAAATTTTTAAATGCCTAATTTTATACATTATTCTCCTAATTTATTCATTTACCTCCATGGCAGGTGAGTAGGTGTGTTATGAGCTTAGAATTGTTTGCTTTCCTTGGCTGCTCCAATAGGACAGGCTTACCAGAGAGGACAAAATTAATCAAACAAATGGTGGGACGACTAGTGACCTAAAAGAGAGAGAGAGAGAGTAGGGGAGAGAGTGAGTTCATTCTTTCTCATGATTCCTCACGTCAGCAGGAGTTACTCTATAAACGCTAGAGCAGTAATGAAGGTCAAGTGTCATACTCTTTGGAGTAGACCAGCGTAACATGACAGTATCTGATCTCCTGGACCCACTGCCACCTCCAGTCTCCTTACTATTACCCTCCTTCCCACTGCTATCAAGCTGATGGCCTTTGAGGAGGAGGCACAAAGAACAAATCAGGTCACGGATGTCACATATACTTATACCTGATCTTATGATGTCCCTGTGTGCATCTGCTTTGTGTATCAGCTCAACATCATAATTAAAGGAGCCTCCACCACTTTGCTCTTCCTGTGGCATGTATGATAGAGAGTGTGTGTGTGAGAGCAGTACAATTAGACTGACTATACATAATTAATATGTCCTCTCCTCTCTCTTTCTATATACATCTTTCATTAGTTATTTCTCCTCTTCTCTCTCTTCTCTCCCTCTACCTTCATTGGTATATTAGTGACACTGGTTGATTTGAGTGTAAAGTGAGTCTTCACCAGATCAATGGTCTTCACTATTAACTCTTTGGCATGATATGAATAAACAGAGACCGAGAGATCATTGCTAATCTACATACACATGTATGTACAGTACAGAGTATATAGTTAATAGGAAAAGGAGTCTGTACCTGTCTTGAAGGACTAGGCATTATCTGTGACTGAGCCCCTGACACATAAACATTAACAACAGCCACTTCACATCTCTGTATTGGTAACCTACAGTAAGCAATGCACATGTACTTGAACACACGTAACTAGAATCACTAAATAGAGCTACCACTGTAACAAATGGACACTACAAAGTCCATAACATATGAAGATGGACATACATAGATGTACCTCACGGGGTCTTGTTTCTGCTTAATGTCAGTGTTCTCCATTCTTAAGAGGTTCAGGGCTGCCTTTTCCACGTCTTTCAAATCGTTTGGACTAGAAATCACAATCATACACACTAGCATTACGACACACACATTATATACAGCATATTGTGATATTACATATAGTACTTAAGCAGAATACGAACACATTGTACACGTATACTGCTTACCTTTCTAAACTACAAAAGACGACTATTCTCCCATGATTGATGGTAGTTAGGTGTTTCTTAACGCTCTGACTACACACGCTCACGGCATACTGTGTTGCTGTCAGCTGAGCCAAACACCTCATCCCGAACTGAAGCCCTTGCAATATGCTCGTCATGTGACTACGACTGACAGGGGGAGTCAATACAGGAAAACCAAACTTTTGAAAGCCGCTCTGAACCTGAGAGATGGGGAAAGGTTTTGAGTTAATTCTGATCATCTATGATTATGGTTTTGGTGTATATTTTTTCCAGACTACAATAGCTCAATAAACTTGTTGTTGGTCATAATAATGTTGTACTTTAGTTAATTCCTGATCCTCATCTCTCCAGGTATTGATTGGATGACATTTTACTTCATCAGCAGCTGCAACACATACCTAACAATAAGATCATCAACATAACATGGACACACATCAGAAGGAATGAAGGATTCTCGCCTAGCCTTACCCTGTACTAAAGTATAGGGATTTTCAGGCCCGTAGCCAGGGGGGGTTCGGGGGGTTCGGACGAACCCCCTGTTGTAGCTGCAAAAAAGTTTCAGATTAGCTCCTGTCATGAAGAACAGCACTGCAAAAGCAGGATTAGCATTTTGGCAACAGCGAGAAGCACAGATAGCCATTTTAGCTGAGTCAGCACATGGCTGAGATGCGTAAATTAAGACCACGCCTACCAACCACGCCCATTTTTGTCAATTTTTTTTGCTGCGCGCTTCGCGCGCAGCAATTTCCGAACCCCCTATTTTAAGTTCCTGGCTACGGCCCTGATTTTGGCCTGATTTTGGAGCAACTTTAAAAATTCGTTAAAAATCCAATTTTGATCGTAATCAGCTCAAATTTTCTATACAACATAAGTACATGTATATGCATCAGAAAACATTATAAAAATGGAGAATTCTCTCGTAGTCATTTTTGGCAAAATTTGGCCAACGACTCTGTACTATAGTACAGCATCTTGGGCCAAATTCTGAAGAAAATTAAAAAATTCTTAAATACCCAAAGACGCTTGAATTTTAACCATATAGGTTAATACTATACATTACTATTGCCCACATTTTGAACATTAGTAAAGGTAACAAGTACAGGAGGTCTAATCATATTATTATAATACTTGATATTCATCAGGAAATAAGTCAAATATAATCCGACAGTACTCGGTGACAGCTTCAATACAAGACGTCCAAAGCATCTTCCCTATCTTTATAGGGCCTCCATCGTGATCAAGAGATATCTCTGGCCCTCCGTAAGAAGAAGAGAGAGAATTGCCAGAAACTATCACCACAGTCTTCTCCATTTTCCTATAATTATTAACCCTTCACTCAGTTCAATGTAATCACGTGATAACACGTGGGCTACCAATAGATTATTAAAAAATAAACATCATAATAATAAACATGGCACACAACATAATTATTCTGTTATTTCTGTGGAAGTACTGATTAAAATGACATTTTCAACTATTACTACTGGGAGGGGTCTGACAAGTTGCTCTTGGAAAAGTGGCGAGTGGCGTATGATTCCATTGAGCGGATAATTTAATGTTAGTGAGAACCTGCCACTCTAACCCATCAATGGTAGCTAGAGAAAATAAAAAGAAGAGAATATTAGTTAAGTCTTAAAAGCCATTTTTTCACAGTACACATTTGTGGACACTTTGATCGTGTAAGTAAGTATAACTTGTTGCAGCAGAAAAAATAGAACTGATTTCTATTTGCGAAACAATTAAGTTCCTTTCAAGATCAAAGTAGCCATAAAAGTTGCTGCTAGGAATACACATGTACTGTACGTTGCTTAACATATGGAGGATCTTAGACTCACCATTAATGGGCTCATTTTTAGCACTGCTCCGACACATCATGTGTGATGCAGTGACACTGATGATGGAGTTCTCTCCTCCTGTGTCTTTGAAGCGCCTTATCCTAATCCCGCCTTTCTTCCTTATGATAGCCGTGATACTCAACAAAGGACCAGGAACTACTGTAGCCATTACACTCCGAACCTTTACACTAGACTATAAAAAATATCAAATGATTTTAATAATGATACATGTATGTATACTGTAAATTAGGAAATTTATGCGGTCGAAAATTTTTGTTTTTTAAAATTATGTTCTGATTTAAAATTTACTAAATAAGAGACTGTGTCATGTATTATTCATTGTGGCATGTGATTATATGCGTGATCTATTTTTTGCAAAACCTTGATCAGGCAAAATTAAAATAACAGTAAAAATTTCCAGATAAATGGTATTTGTAGTATCAGTACTCACTTTTTGACTGTCTTTCTTTCCTCCCCAGTATTCCAAGTGTATCTCAGGATGCTGCAACTGTTGCTGCTGTGAGTCTGTTGGACTGTGGAGAATCCATAATAAAATGTACATCTACATAAATATAGTTACGTTGAAGGACTTGATGGATGGATAAGTTCAGTATCAGACTCCCACGGGCCCATGATGACACTCTATGTAACAAACACAAAAGGGAATGAGTGAAGCAGAATGAGTGAAGAATGAGTGAATGTGTTATTTATATCATTGTTGTTGTTACTCACGTGTATGAAAGGTATGGAGCGGCTTCCTGTGCTGGTGTTTGGCTCAACTTGTTCCATAACAAGTTCAGCCTGTGCAATGGGCAATGGGTGATACTGTAACTCTACTTTCAGTCTAGCCAGTATACCAGCTATCAAAATGGAATAATACGTGTAACAGAATAAAAATTATAAAAATACACAACCAAATCCCATAATGAACACTGCAAAGTGTCCATTATACATCTACATTGTACGTAGAGGCTAGTTTGTGGTTTTATACATCATTGGGTCAGTTATGATCATGATAATATCTTTTTTAGTAATTTTCTTACAAATTGATTGATGGGAGTATTTCTCCTCTTCATTCTCTTTCTGGGCCGGTTTCTCAGGAGCTGCTGCAGTAAGAGATGGAGCAGACGGAGAAGAAACTGTTCTGAGTGTCTTCTCAATGTCAGTCAGGAAGTAGAGCCATATTGGAAATTGAGGCCCAGTGACATACGCTCTGAGGAGAGCAGAGAGAAACTGCTTGTCACCAGTCACTAGTAAGAGAAATGGATTACTCTTGTGCCTAAGAAATAAAGAGAAACAAAATAATAAAAAAGACATGCATAGAGTGAAAGAGAGAGAGAGAGGGGGGGGGAGGCAGAAATTTAAAATTAAGAAAAGACCCTTAATATGTACATATGGACATGTAGTATGTGACTTTTCATGTATGAAATTGTATACTAAACTATTAGCTGAATTGCTAAGTAAAACTGACCAGAGGTTATGCAAAGTGTTCAAAAGTGATAAAAGTGATGACGAGGTACACTCTGTGGGTGTATTAAGAAAAGGTTCCCCGAGAGAGTGAAGTACTTTAGGTAAGAGATGATCCTCTCTCTCTTTCACGAGCCACAAACGTCCCTCGATCAGAGCAATCTCTGGCATATCCAAAGGCTCCAGTGTCTGAAAATTATTAAAAAAACAATCTTTAAACAATCATATAAGGTGCCTATACTGTATGCTATACATTCCTAATAGAGGCACTAATTCTGACTACCACTTACTTAATGAAGACATACAATTGGCTGCTGGATGTTTGCATGTACATGTACATGTGTGTGTGCATACCTCAGACGGAGAGCGGCTTCTTGTGCTGTTACGGTTTAGACCCAAATCAAAAGAACCGAATGTCTGATGTTGATAAACAGTTTCATCTGG